ATACCACTCTGATGGCAGAAAGTGAGGAGGAATTAAAGAACCTTGTAATGAGAGTGAAAGAGGAGAGTGCAAAAAACGGTCTGAAACTCAACATCAAAAAAACTAAGATCATGGCCACTGGTCCCATCACCTCCTGGGAAATAGAAGGGGAAGATATGGAGGCAGTTACAGATTTTATTTTCCTGGGCTCCATGATCACTGCAGATGGAGACAGCAGCCCCGAAATTAAAAGATGCCTTCTTCTTGGGAGGAAAGCGATGACAAACCTAGACACCGTGTTAAAAAGCAGAGACATCACCTTACCAACAAAAGTCCGCATAGTTAAAGCTATGGTTTTTCCAGTAGTATATATGGAAGTGAGAGCTGGACCATAAAGAAGGCTGACAGCCAAAGAATTGAGGCTTTGGAATCGTGGCGCTGGAGGAGACTCTTGAGAATCTCCTGGACTGCAAAGAGAACAAACCTATCCATTTTGAAGGAAGTCAACCCTGAGTGCTCACTGGAAGGACAGATCCTGAAGATGAGGCTCCAGTACTCATGGAAGAGAAGACTCCCTGGAAAAGACCCTGATGTTGGGAAAATGTGAAGGCAAGAGGAGAAGGGGACGACAGAGGACAAGGTGGTTGGACAGGGTTCAATTTATCCAGCACTGACCAATCATCCCTTCCTACCTCTGAATTCAAAGAGAACCACACCTCTCACATCTCTTTCCCCCACCTTTCCATTGAAGTGAGGTGTTCGTTAGTAATTTGTTAGTTTGCTGTTTGCAGTTCCCAACTGTAAGTAACCAAATGTTTTTATTCCTTCGACTACTGCTGTGTCAGAGTGAGTTACTGAGACTGCAAGTGTCAGTTAATGAGAAAAGGGTGGACTACCTGGGGAGTGAGGCTCCAGTACTCATGGAAGAGAAGACTCCCTGGAAAAGACCCTGATGTTGGGAAAATGTGAAGGCAAGAGGAGAAGGGGACGACAGAGGACAAGGTGGTTGGACAGGGTTCAATTTATCCAGCACTGACCAATCATCCCTTCCTACCTCTGAATTCAAAGAGAACCACACCTCTCACATCTCTTTCCCCCACCTTTCCATTGAAGTGAGGTGTTCGTTAGTAATTTGTTAGTTTGCTGTTTGCAGTTCCCAACTGTAAGTAACCAAATGTTTTTATTCCTTTGACTACTGCTGTCTCAGAGTGAGTTACTGAGACTGCAAGTGTCAGTTAATGAGAAAAGGGTGGACTACCTGGGGAGCGTGAAGGTATTCTCCTGTCTATATTTCTACTATGTAGTCAAATAGAGGATTTTAAGCAGAAATTCAAAACCCTGCAACATTATTCAACCTGTACATGAAACCGCTGCAAAAGATTGGAGTTTCGGGCTTTGGTGCATTAGTATGCTGATAACCCCCCAAATATATCTCCCCTTCCCATTTGATTCCAAATAAATTGTTCTGGGCCTAGACCAATGTCCTTTGTTTGCCCCGTACAGCGATGTTTTCGAATAGCGAAGGTTAATCTGGAACGGATTAACCTCGCTATGCGGGGCACCACTGTAAATTGTTCTGGGCCTAGACCAGTGTCCTTTGTCAGTAACGGACTGGATGAGGACTAACAAACTGAAACTTAATCCAGACATGACAGAGGTGCTGCTGGTCAGACGTAAGGTAAATATCCAGACAAGACAGAGGTGCTGCTGGTCAGACATCAGGCAAATCAGGGAAAAGTCAGGTCTGTAGCTCGGGTGTACTCCTAGATTCATCTGAGCTTGGATGAATAGGTTTCAGCGGTGACCAGGAGTGCTTTTGCACAATTAAAGCTGGTGCGCCAGTTGTGCCTCTTCCTTGAGATATCCAACCATGCTGAAAAATGCCATAGTTAACATTCTGTTTGGATTACAGCAGTGTGCGCTGTATGGGGCCATATGGGTCTACCTTTGAAGAGTGTTCAAAAACTCCAGCTGGTTAAAAAATGCTGCCAAATGGCACTGGTTACATTAACGTCCTTATTACAACAGTTTCACTGGTTTCCAGGTCCAATTCAGAGTGTTGGTTGTTACCTATAAATCCCTCTATGGCTTGGTTCCAGGATATTCGAAGGACCATACCACGCCATATGAGCCTACTCAGCTTTTAAGACCTGGGGAGGCCTTTCTCTTGGTACCACCATGTTCCCAAGCTTATTTGGTGAGGATACAAGAAAGGGCCTTCTTAGTAGTTGCTCCCAGGCTATGGAACGCACTGCCCTAAGAAGCCAGGTTGGCCGCTTCCCTCTTTTCCTTCTGTCATCAGGCAAAAAAACCTCCTCTTCAGGCAGGCTTTTAAGCAGTTAGTGTATCGGGAACACATTGTTTATTAATTTACAGATTTTAATTGTTTTTAATCTTGACATATGCTTAATTATTTTCAATATGAAATTGATACGGTATTTCTAGATCGATGATTGTTTTATAAATTTATTTCTTGTGAGCCACCTTAGGTCCCCTATGGCAGTGGTCCCCAACCTTGGGCCTCCAGGTGTTCTTGGACTTCAACTCCCAGAAATCCTGGCCTGCAGAGGTGGTGGTGAAGTCTTCTGGGAGTTGTAGTTCAAGAACATGTGGAGGCTCAAGGTTGGGGACCACTGCCCTATGGGGAGAAAGGTGGTATATAAATAATGCAAATAATCATAATTAATTAAATAAATTAAAATAAATTAAATAACATGCACATAAGATCCTCAGACATGATTTCTAGTGTCATGAAAATATTTTCAGACTGACTCAATGTATCCTCTTAAAATAACATGTCTTTCTTCTGAGGAAGGCCCATAGTTCAATGGCAGAACACATTCTTTCCTTGCAGAAGATGTCAGTTCAGCCTCTGACAGACCTTTTTCCTGAAACCTTGGTGTCTACATGGAAAATATTATGCTAGATGGAACAATGATCTTTGGTATGAGACAGCTTCTTAGCTTCTCTGTGGCTGCCCTCCTCCTTCTTCGATGGAATACTTACGTCTTAAACTAGCTAAGCAATGCATCTTTCATTAACTTTGGAATACCTATCATATTTAAGTCTGTAGGGCACAAGATTTTAGCATTTTCAGATAACTTAACCTCCTGAGAAGAGGTTAGGTATATATGACTGGCAGATTCTGGGAGCAGGAGTCCAAAGACAGTATCTAACTGAGTCCCTACACGTTTGTAACCCTGAGTTGTGCAAGGGGTTGCAATTTTCCCAAGCTCCCCATGCATGTTATTCCTGCTGTCTGAGTATGACAGGAAATACTGGGAAACTCCCAGCTGCACTGTAGAATGCCCTATGCTGCCACCACTGAGTCTGCTATCTTCGTGGCAGCCCTGCTGAACTAGAAGAAAGAGTCAACACTGTTGCAGTACAGTTGCCATTACCACCACCCTAACGGCTGTAAGAAAAAGGGAAAAAGTGGGAAGAGGAAAATGTGGCAAGGATGAGTAGCACATGAGAGTGGATCGATGACTAGGACTGGGATGATGACAGCAATAGGCTCACAGGAGGAAGAGGAGAAGGCTATAGCCTGCAACCTTCCACCCCATGACAGCCAACTATTTCTTTACTTAAGGCCAGGTGCTAAGGCATTCTCAGAACCAGGCATGGAAATAAGAGCCGACTCTGGACAGCTGGACGAAGTTTTCCAGAGCCACAAAGACCCCTGTCTTCATCTGCCCTCATTGGTAGTTCTTCAGCAGCCCCATGGGATTTTACTGTTGGGGCTTTCTGCCCTAGGATCTTGGCAGGAAGTAGTATATTTTCCAGACTCCATTAAAAAAATCTGCATGTGATTTTAATATATATATATATAAAATTACCACAAACACAGGGATTAAGCATCAAAGCAAGTTTTCGAATAGCTGCTCAATATCTTCTGAGCACATTTATCAGTGGCGCTACAACGAGGGCTCACAGAGATGGTGCCTCTTTCCTTAGCATGTAAAGATTAAACACCAAAACTCAACACTATGCCACATATGCCTTGTTTCCTTGCTTGCATGAGTTTTGCTTCCCTCCCTCTCATTCTCTCTCTGTCTTCGTTTTTCAGGACTGAAATGTCCCATTACTTCCTTTCCTTGACGCAACGAAGAGGCCCATCAGAGCTTGGCATAGGGAGCATCCCGATCTTCCTACCAACAGCCATGTTGCAATCTAAACCGTAGCCCCAGCTAGACATCTGTACCTGCCAAGTGGTTACTGGAGGCCTGACAGAAACAGATGCCAGGGCCTGTCATGTACTTTCAAAACAAAACCATTTCAACTGCTAGCCTAGAGCTGTGCTTCACTTTTAACAATAAAGTAAGAGAGTATTAACATGCCACGTCGTGTTCTTGTTTTAAAAATAAAAGCTATTTATATAAATGCACATCAAGGGCTGTTTGAATCTCTCCCACCCTTAACCTCTCGCTTGGCTGCAAAAAAAAAGAGTGATTTTTATCTCTGCTCCCTTACCAATGTGCTGAGCGCAGGTATCACAATACTCTGCATATAAGGATTCAAAACAGTTGCAGCAATATGGCCGCCCTTCCTTCATGATGTACCGCTGGCCACCCAGCACGGTTTCACATTCAAAACAGCAAAAGTGCTTCATGTGCCAGTGCCTTCCCTCAGCCTCTGTGCACTCGTCGGCAAAGATAATCTGTGGAAAGAAAAAGGAGGATTTTAGAGCTACCTACAGTAGTTTTTGCTATGAGCTGTTCCAAATTCCTTTTCCCCCTGTCCTGTATTTTTAGTTTATTTTTAACAGCCTGGCTATCTCCAGACTCTTATATTTAGGCCTCTTGATACTAGAGTCCTAATTTTCTGCCACATTATAAACAAATTGAAAACCTGTTCTCAAAATGCCCTGCATATGGAACAAAGGGGGGGGGGAGAGACACAGAGCTTAGAAATGTTACATTTTTTAAATACGATTCCCAGAAGACCTCTTCCAGCATTGCTAGCTGGAAATTCCAAGAATTGCAGTCTGGAAAATTGCAATTTCCCCAAACTCCGGGTGAAAATAGTTTACAAAGTGGGAAGTATGTACTTTTCGGAAGAGTCAGTATTACGATAATAACGATAATAACGTCATAACCATATTTATTATTTCCACTTCTATACCACCCCATTAGTGTTGTCAGTCTCTGGGGAATTTCACAACATACAATGAAATCTTACAATGAAAAACAATAAATACAATGAAAGCAAAAAAGTGTTGCTAGCTAAAACAATGAACGTATCTTTAAATAGAAAAACATGACTTAAAAACCTATCTGAGCATCTCAGGTCATTGTTCACTAATTGTAGAAAGCAGCTTAATTCTATCTTAATTAGCTTCCTAAAAACTAAGAGAAATTGCTCCTGACAAATCTTTATAGGAAGCCTATTCCAGATGGAAGGGGCCACAACCAAGAAAGCTCAGTTCCCAGTATCATCCTAAGTGGCTCTTAGGTTGTCAGGATCACAATGCCCAGAATAAGTCAAAATAGTGGAGGAATTTGAATTCCCAAATGCTTGTACTGGTTGTCAGGACCCCAGAAATACAGAAGAATCATGGGAACAAGCCTTGAGAAATTAAACATCTTCGCTCATCTGAAAGTCCTAAGAGGCAAGTACTAAAGATAACTCAACATGCTGGACTGGGAAATCTGCTATAATTCATCAAGCAACACACAGGTCTTAGAATGTATTTCAGCACACTTAAGCACCCCCCCATCCCCACCGACAAAGAAGCACAAGGTTTTTGGCTGGCCTTACCTCATCACATGCTGCGCACCGAGGCTTGAGGCATTCTGCGTGGTGTCGGCCACAATAAATCTTCCCGTCTTGATAGAAATAGATAAGATCTACCAACAGCTCGTTGCAAACACTGCATATGAAGCATGATGGGTGCCAACAAACACCATGGCCTGCTCTGGATGCAAAGACGGCGATGTCTCCACCATTAATCTGGCCTCCGCACTGTCAAGAGGAGTGTAAAATTAAAGAGGAATCTGCTCTGACGATCTGCTTCAAGGAAAGAACGGCTCAACAGTGGCCATTCTTATGGAAATATTTGGAATATGATGAGGTTTTACGAAATGATAAAGTATAATTTCAACGTTAATTCACAAATCAGTGTTCGGGAGCAGCAGCCAGACTGCTGACTGGGGCTGGTTGCAGGGATCACATCACCCGCGTTACAGTAGCTCCACCAGCTGCCGATCAGTTTCCAGGCACAATTCAAAGTGCCGGTTTTAACTTATAAAGCCCTAAATGGCCGGAGCCCAAGCTATCTCAAAGACTGTGTCTCCCATTATGACCTGTCTCAGACATTAAGACCATCAGGAGAGGCCTTTCTCTTGGTCCTGCCACCCTCACAGATGCATTTGGTGGGGATACAGCAGAGGAAAAGGCCTTCTCTGTTACCTCTCCCAGACTTTGGAACTCCCTCCCACAGGTGGGCAGACTGACCCCATCATCGCTGTCCTCCTGCAAGCAGGCGAAGGCCTTTCTCTTCAGGCAGGCTTTCCTTGAATGAATGGCTGCCAAGTGGGGTTTTGTTACTGTGTTGAATGTGTTTTTGGGTTGCTTATGTTTTTTGTATTCATTGATCCTTTTAGTACTGTATGCTCACTGTTGTTAACTTAAATGCTGTCTTTTAAATGCTACCCGCATGTGATTTTTAGATGGATTGTTATGTATTACTACTTTGACTAGATTTTTAGTTCTACTTGTGTTTTCCATTTTTGTGTTTGCCATTTCTCAGAGTGTTTTTTTTTTTTTGCTAAAAAGTGTATACTTATTGTTCTTAGCTTTAATATTACCTTTTAATGATGTAGGATGCCTCTTTATATTCATTGTTCTTAGCATACTATCTTTTAATGAAGTTTATGTACTCATTGTTTTCAACTTTAAATATTGTCTTTCAATGTTGTAAGCTGCCTTGGGTCCTTTTCAAGGAGAAAGGTGAGGTAAAATATTTTAAACAAACCAACCAACAAATCAGGGCTTTATGTGCAAATGTATTTGACATGAGCCCTGTCAGATCTCCCACTTGTCATTTAATGCTTGTTCACACACTTCAAAGCTTACTCATATATGAACAAGGCTTGGCGTAGTCTAACAAAAGAATGGGAACTGGATCCTGTTTTCATCTTGCTTCTTTCCCTGCTTAAACCATCTTGTAACCCAGAAAATGGAAAATAGAGAAACTGGGTTCCTCTGACATTACTTTGAGTGAAACTAGATGCTAGGTTTGGCATGTTTTTAGAAGAGGTGCTGTCTCCTGTGGCAGAGGGATGCCTGTTTGCCATAGAATGTTATTGTCTTGACCTTTGTATTTTGCATTTAGCATGCTGTTTAATGCTTTGTTACTGGATGGTAAATGTAGCCACATCTAATTTTCACGGCATCTGACTGTCTCCCAGAGAAACCCCTTGTAGAAGGAGAAACATACACTTCCCTTAATGTCTAGTTTGAGCCTTATCACGGAGTAAGACCAAGACAATTTCCTCCAAATTGTATCTCTTTCCATTGTGCGGATTATAAGCAGAAGCAGGAGGTAAGCAGATTGTTATATTATGACTTCAGTAGTTTTCTGTATATAATGGTAAATAATACTGTAAATAAAATCACAATTGTTACAATTTAATTGTAGTCTGAATTTGTAATATTCAATATTTGCAGAACTCATGCTAAAAAGGGAGCACTGTGTCACATCTATGGGACAGAAGTAATTGTAAGGCAGAGAAATATTACTATTAAGTTAACCTAGGTTGACGATAATAATTACTTCTAGAAAAATCTCATTGATACATTGGATATATGCACATATACATTGAAGATACCTTGAAATATTAAATGTTATAAATCATGTTATCTACACTAATGAGTGATGGCATATATTCTACACATTTTTTCCTATCTAAAATAATGCAAACCTACATATTAAAATCCAGCTTTGGAAGGTTATGGTATTGCACATCTTAATGCACTAGGATCTTTCAAACTATACATAAAACACACAAACCAAAATGTCTAACTGACACTACCAGGGCTCAGTGCTGAAAGCTGTAACTGAGAATTACAGAAACTCAAAATCTCCATTCCAAATCTATAAATCCCTTTCACTTGATATGTGCTAAATGTTTTTCAATACACATCCATTCCTCAAGACATATTTTGAGCTTTCAGGTGTATCTTTTGGCTTCAGAATTCCCCTAACATTTTTTTCTGAGACTGTTGCAGACATACTGATAAATATCCCATTGTTCCTGACTCTAGAACAGTTTGCTTTGCTCATCAGTTATAGCCCAAGAATGCACTGATTGGACAGAGTGGACTGTGTGTGGACCTGTGTGAAATTGTTGATCAGCAGCAGTGCTGGACTAGCACCCATCCACCTACCACAGCTATCTGCAGACTAAACTCTCGATCCAAGGGGAAAAGTTAATTAATAAGAATTCATATTCAAAATTCGTTATGGAGTCAAAACAAAGAACAAACTCTTGTGCTGTTTGCTCATCATGCGTTGGCCTGTTTCATAACCCAAAACTGACACCGTGACAAGAGGCATTGAGAGAGATGCACTGTGTGTGCCACGGTGAGATGCTGTTGCAACATGGTGGCATTCGCTGTGAATCAAAGAACCGTCCAGCAGAAAAACAGTGGCTGACACTCAGTTGCCTAGAATAGGCTACGGAGGAGGCTTATGGAGGAGCTGACTCACCAAGTCCCCAATGATTCAATGGGCTTATTCTAGTTGCGACCTACTATTGGATTTCTGCCAGCAAGGGTTAAGCACGGCTTTACCTGCTCACAGATGGCGCCTGTCATGGTGACTGGGAATGGCCGGACATTGCCTCTGCCCAAGTTCTCCCTTTTCCTCTGATTGCTGAAGAGTTTGAGTTCTCTCTTCTCCTCCTCATCCAGTGAGTTACAATATCGCACCTAAAGACATAAAGCACAGATGCAATTTGTGTTACATTGAAGTGAGCAATCTTTTAATCAACATTGCATCACTATTCCTTCAACAGGAAGCACGCCTGTCCTTGCACCTTATTGCACCACTCACCCACTGAGCAGCTCACCTAACCTTGTGCCATCGCACTTCTTAGAAAGTTTTCCATTCTTAGTGCTCGTCTTGATGTTATGCATGAAGAAAGGGTGTAATCAGCCCTTTTCCTCTGAATGGATCTTGTTATCCAATACGGATGTTTTTCTCAATAAATGATTTTGGCCCAGACCAGATGACCTGCGACTGCTGCTCTTATGCTTAATGATATTCTTATTTTATCGGCTACACTGGAACCTAGCAGGTGCACGTGTGCCAGAAACACACAGTGGCTGGCACCAAAGTGTACAGTATTGGGCCATTATATAAAGAACAGAACAATCATGGCTTTAACATGACACATGAGAGAAATGGCCAGCCCAGGGATAAATGCTTCTCTGTGAATCAAAGAACCATCCAGCAGAACAACAATGGTTCTAAAACTAACTCGTTCTCAAATGTAAGGAAAATTAAGGCAACATTTTTGGTCTATAGCTTTCTATCTGTTTCCTCCTATGTTTGCAACAGAGATGGTTCGTAATAGTATTTAAAACAGACGCCAGTTTAGTTTTCCTCTACTGTACATTGGCTTGGCTTCTTTGGACCCAACTATGGTAATGGTAATGGTAATTCACTTACTGCTTATCTGCAAGCTGAAGAGGGATAAATTATTTCCTGATTCTGTAGACAGGACTCTTTTAAAAGGTACTTCAGTGGCACTCAAAAGAGCTTAGCAAGCCATTCACTATAAAACTTACAGCAGACACATTACTATAACCTTGCACATTGAAACGGGTCTCAAACTTAAGACAAAGCCAATAAACTGCTGTCAAGATGATTAAAAGGGCTTCCCTTTAAATCATTAAAATATACACTACAATTTCTTGGTACAAAACCCAAGCTGCTTAGGAGAGATCTGGAAAATAACTCAATTGACTGCAGTTTTTACATGCCAAGAGACCATGTTTAAAAATTAGTTTGCCCACCCTTGGGTTTACTCTTCTGATTTTGTTTCTGGATTTAAATCTGAAATCCAGTGGCCTCAGTCCCAGATCAAATGATGCATATAAAACTCCTTGTCAAGAAATACACTTTAAAGAATTTAAATCAAGTTAAAAAATAAATACCCCTTCATGGATTGCTGCCTTGTCATGGCGAAGGGGCTTGAGTAACTCAGAGAAGCTATGGGCTATGCCGTGCAGGGACACCCAAGACAGACAGGACATAGTGGAGAGTTCCGACTAAACGCAATCCACCTGGAGTAGGAATTGGCAATGCCACTCCAGTATCTTTGCCAAGAAAACTCCATGGACAGAAACAAAAGGCTAAAAGATATGACGCTGGAAGATGGGCCCCTCAGGTCGGAAGGCGTCCAACATGCTACTGAGGAAGAG